TCTCTCTCTCTCTCTCTCGGAGGCCTGGTTAATGTGGGAGCCGACAGGTTAAAGATTAGAGTTGCCCTAACAGGCTGGGGTGACAGAGGGAGAACAAACACACCGTAGCCATTAAACAATCCACACCTGGGCCTATTAGCCAGGATCAGAGTGGGGTGACTGTTTCAATTTCTACAGGGAGAAACCAGCCTATCAATCTGCTTATGCAGATCACATCACTGCCCGACTGCAGAGCCATTTAAATAATAATTAGCTAAAGTGGCCTGGGGGGATATTTACGTTTTTGTAAGCTGGGTCCTCTCGGTGAGGCGGGGTGGAGCTGGAGAGAGGCAGGCTGGCAGGAGGGGAGGCAGGCAAGCTGGGGGACTCCTGCTGGATGGGGTCTGAGGAGGAGGGAGGGGAGGTGCTGTGATACACTGTGCCACTCCCTCTCTCCTTCCCCCTCTCGTCTCCCGAATTGTCGCTCAGCGCAGGGATGTACAGGTTGGTTTGAGTCTGTGGCAGCCTGCTTGTGAAGCCCCCCTCCTCCTCCTCGTCCTCCAGCTTCGACGACTCCACGTCCACCTCCCCCTCCTCCTCACTCTCCACTCCGTCCGCCTCTCCATCACCTCCGCTTTCACTTCCGTAACTACAGCTGCTGCTGGGCGATAGCCGCTGGTGGCGGTCTGACCTGGTGACCACGACCCCAAAGTCCTCGTCTGTTGCCCCGGTGACTCCTCCACTGTTGCTGTGGAGCTTGGCAATGCTCTCCGCATCTTTAACGACGGGGCGGAAGGCCGAGCCATAGCTGGGCTTTCTGGTTTGGAGGTTTGGGGTGTCCAGGAGTTTGAGCCAGCCCTCTGACGTCACAGGTCGAAGCTCAGGGGTGACTGTCGTGCACTCTGGGTCAAACAGCCCAGATCTGGGTGTGGTAGTCCCACTGCTTGGGGCCATGTTGGCGCTGACACTATTTCCATTGCCAGCTACAGCTCCAGGCTCGCTGGGGTCCGAGAGATCCAAAAAGGCCTGCCTGAGAGAGGGGTTGTCTGCCAGGGAGGAGAGGGCTCCGGGCTGAGGCTGGAGGTAGGTGGGGACAGGGATTCCTCCTGCCGCTCTTGGTGGCCAAAACATGCAGAAAGGAGGATAAAAAGTGTCTTTGCGGCCAGGCCATAAAAGACCCGACAACCCTGCCGCTTTCTGCGCACCTGAAACATCACTGTCATCTTTTTTCTGCTGGCAGAGGCCGAATGCTGGGAAGGGGTAAGGCGAGGGGAAGAGCGACGTGGGAGGGAACTTCTGCAGCATGCCAAAGCCTTTGCTTGGGACAGGGATGACAGGGTAGTTACGAGGGGTCTTACGGGGAGACAGACTTCCTCCATCCAGATCATCCTCGTCTTCATAGCGGCTTCTTTTCTGAGCACCCAGCTCGGGTCCCATCATGTGAGGCACCACCGAACCTGGGAGGGACTTCATAGCACCCATGGAGGAACAGTGGGCTGAGGAGGGCAGCGCTCTCTTCCGGCTGCCTCCGTTGAACATAGCTTTGACGTCTTCCCACGCGTAAACTAACTCATCAGCTGGGATTTTGTCACTGAGTTTGAGGTGTCTTCGCCAGGAGTTAAAGTTGGCGGCGTCGGGCTGGGTGTACTTGGCGTCTGGTGTGCGGTGGGAATGGAAAATGAACTTGTTTGGGGAGAAGTACATGTTGCAGAAGGAGCACTTGATGCATTTGGCCCTGGAGCTGTTGTAGCGTGCCGGGATGAAGTTACCACGGCAACCCCAAGCGCACTCGTGTGTCACGTCGAAGGCGAAGTTGTCGGGCAGTTTGGGCGGTGCGTTCTCTCCCAGGAAGGACTTGCAGAGGCGCTCGGCTTCTCGCTTGGTGATCATGCCACAGCGGCGTGACGAGATGGGCATGGCTCCGGCCCGACGAAGAATCTCCAGCTGAACCGGAGTGCACTGGACGCAGGTGATGCCCAGCGCCACGCGACGATTATGGATCTCATTGTAACTGTAGTTCTTGAGGAGTGTGTTGGAAATCTGTGCCAGGCAAAGTCTCTCATTGTTATCGATGACCAGAGATACGATGGGAACGCCGTACAGGATGACCTGGCCGACCTGGTTGGGCTTGAGGGGTGATGAGGAGGAGGATGGAGAGGGGGAGGACATGGAAGAGGGTGAGGAGTGGAGATGGGTGGGTCTGGGTGGAGTCAGGGGTTCCTGCTGGTAGGGGCCTGTTGAGCTCGTCATTATGATGTCATTAGTGCTGGAAAGATGGGTCTTGTCCATACTGGGAGGAAAACTGTTTGCAGGATGACCTGCAGGAAATGAAGAAAGAGAGATTCTTATGTGTTGATTTTCTTTTTACATAAAACATGCAAGTACATTGTCTCTGTATTACACATAGAGCCAAATGAAATAGCTAGATATTCCAAGTAATTATATCATATTATGTACATTAAATCTACCACATAATATTGTTGTAACCAGTAATACTTTGATGATATAAGGAATTTGTTTAAAAAAGTAAATATTTAAATATTATTTTAAATTAAATACATTTAAATTAAATGTCTGATTCACAATTTATAGACCGAAATAAAATGTTCTTTGCTTTTTTAAGGAACTACAAAGAATAAAATTTGATTTGACTCCAACATGTGATTGCTGTCATTTTAATTACCCTTACAAAATTAGAGTGTTTCTGTGACAAAAAATACAAATATACAAACTTTTTTTTTTCATGCAGGTCCTTTGCATTTAAAAAATATTAAATCAGGAATGTCGGTTAATTTATTTGCCCAAAGATGATAATCTCTGTACATTTTACAGCTCTAAAGTAATGAGTGTTTGCCTGCATGGGTTTTTAAGTTGACCGGTGAATAAACTGTGAAACAGGATGATGAACACACTCTTCTAAAATAATTGATACAATGAAAGTACAATATTATCCAGATTTCCCCACAAACATAGAAGCACAAATTAATATTTATTTTTTCTGATTTTACAGAGTAAAATATTCTTTAGGCTATATCTGGAAAACAGTGTAACCTACAAAGTTCATCCTTGACGCCCAGTGTTAAATAAAAGACATACATTTAAGACAGCTTTGTAGGTGTCCATTTTTGGCAACAATCAGACTAAACTTTTGTTAAACCTCATTTCCCGATAAGAAAGTTGGCTGTGGCACCCTGAGGTGGTGGCACATTATGTCTACTCTAAATACTGTATTTCTTCATGTTCTTTAAAGTCTTCATTTATATATTGTTTTAAAAACATATGAAAATGGAAATTAAAATTTACTGTGGAGAGAAATTGAAGGGGGATAGCAAAATGTATTGTGCTATCATTTCAAGAAATTATACTGTAATGTTCTGAAGGACAAAAAGGCACAATTTTGACTTTATAGTAAACGTCTGCAAAGTAGTGAATAAGTTATATTACTTGGAAATAAGCTTTAATATTTCATTAAGATGATAATTTCTGAAATTTAGATTTTACAAATTCAAATTTTAACTACAGCATTCCAATATTAAAGTATTTTTGTGCACCTCTCATTTGTGATGTTTTAAAAAACAAAAAACACAAACAATTACAAAAAAAGACATCAATAATTACAAGATGTGTTTGTTTTAACAAATAAATTCCTAAGACATTTATGACCAATTATGTACACATTATATGAAAACATTACATAATAGCAAAATATAATACAGAATTTACAAGCTGTTTATACTAAACATACATGTTTTGAATTGGAACAACTTAATACAGCGCATTTAGGACTATAACGTGGCGCAATTGTGTGGGCCGAACAACCAACTGAGGAGGAGAAGTATAGAAGAGTAAAAAAACGAATTAAACAAACACCCAAACTCAAGAATTTAGAGCTTTGGCTTAAAGATACATTTTTTATCATTTATGTTGAGCACAAGTTTAATTTCTAGCAAAGTAACAATAGGCCTTTATTAAACAAGCACGCTTGTCAGTTAGTCAGGCATCATGTTTAACTTCTCCACGGAATAATACAGGAGGCATATTATTATTAATATGATATTAATATTTATTATTATTATTATTATTATTAACAATAATAATAATAATAAAAATAATAATAATAAGAAGAAGAAGAAGAAGAAGAAGAAGAAGAAGAAGAAGAAGAAGAAGAAGAAGAAGAAGAAGAAGAAGAAGAAGAATGACGTCTTT